ATCCCGCCCTACCTTCTCCTTTTCATTCTTGTTTCTTTTTGGGGGGGGATGGCGGTGAGGTTGTCGTACTATATGCTTCCTTTCAACTAACTTACGTTTTAACTATCACAAACACACTTGTTAGTTTGACGTTCTCTTCTCTTCCTCTCTCCTCCTTTTTTTTACAAAAACCCACCTTGCTTCTCTTCTCTCTTTTTTATATTACGTTTTTTATTACCCCTCTCTCTTTCTTTTTCTCTCTATTATATCTTACAAATAAAAGAAAAAGAAATGCGGGGGCTCATGTGTTTGAAGATTTTTCTTGGCAAGGGGAGGGGGGGGGCTGGGGGGGGCAAAGATTTGGGTGCTTTTATTTACTGCAAAAAAAAACACACACACACACAAGAGGATGTAAGAAAGAAGAAGTGGGGGGGTTGGAGGTGAGGGCAGGGGAGGTTGGTGGGTGGAGAGAAAGAGAGAAGAGAAGGCAATGGATGGATTGAAGAATATGGATGTCTCAGGTTGGAAGGAGGAATGAGCAACTTATAGGGGATTTTTGAAAGTATGTATTAGAAATGCATATTGATCAGTCTGAGTCTGTGGGATTTGAGGATTGATATCCATATACATAGAATGCAGTCCTAGTTTCTGTGGGAGATCAAGGCAGGTCAACTAGATGTAGTCAATCAATCCGAGGATTGGACTTTCTTTGTACAAAATCAGCAGTCGTGTGGTTGTTTTTCTTTGTGGTTTGGGTGGTAACACCGTAAGGTCGAATGTGCCAGCTTGGCCAATAGTGATAAGAACGTAATGTCAACCAGTTGCAATTCATCACTCTGCTCAGACTCAGTCTTGTGGAAATCATTGTTCCAATATTCAGAGTGGTGTTGATCTTGTGAGACCAATACAAATGATTTAATATTTATATGAGTCAATGGGCCAGTTTTACAATTCTCTTGGCTGGAATTTCTTTGACCACTTGTGAATGTCCTTGATTTTTTGCCAACACATCATTTTCTTTTCTTTTTTTTTGGGGGGGGTCCACCTTTTTGTGTACCAAAGATTTCCCCTGCACACACCAAAAAAGGTGTGCACTCCAAGGATTCTTGGAGTGTGCAGTAGTGCACTCCAGATTTTCTTGGAGTGCACACCAAAAGGGGAAACACTTGATGATTTTGGAGTACATGGTTGTGCACTCCACAAAGAATCTGGGGTGCACTATTCTGCACTTCAAGAATCCTTGGAGTGTATACCCATGCACTCCAGGCTCCAGTGTTTTTACTTCCTAGGTATTTCTAGGAGTGAAAATTTATTTGAAGTGCAGAGCTTCACTCCAAAAATTTGAAGTGCTTTCTTGGACCCACAGGCTGATATCACACAGTACAATCCATGAGATTTTTGATTCATGGCACCCAACATAAGAAGAAATCATTTTTGTAATTTTGGAAAGCCATGAAGGGCCTGTTCAACAGACAGACAAAGAAATTTTTTGTTTACTTTTTGGGATCCACAATCACCCGGCCATGAGAAATTCAGGCCCTTCTAAGTTCTTGTGTGATATCAGCCTAGGGGTCCAAGAAAACACTCCCGATTTTTAGACTGAGCAGGATTCGCACTCCTAAATATACCAGGGAAGCAAAAACACTGGAGTGCATAGGATTCTTGGAGTGCACATTAATGCACTCCAGATTTTTTTTTTTTTTTTTTTGGTGTGCAAAACCATGTACTCCAAAATCATCAAGTTTTGCCCCTTTTGGTGTGAAGTTTGAACTGAAAGAAAATCTGGAGTGCACTACTGTGCACTCCAAGAATCTTTGGAGTGCAAACCTTTTTGGTGTGTGCAGGGGAAATCTTTGGTGTGCAAAAAGGCAGACCCCTTTTTTTTGGGGGGGGGGGCAACCAAGCATAAGACCATCAGCTGAGGAGGGGTCGTCACCAGAGATGTGTGATATTGGGGGCAGAAACATATTATCACAAAAAGGAAAATTAGAAATCCCTAATTAATCCATAAAAATATTTTCAAACATACTACTTGTGTTTCAACAAGGCCTTTCTCAAGATAACATATGTATCACCTTCTCACCTCAATTGTTTTTCCTGTTCTCAGACAAAATCTCAATGCCATAGGGCACACCCTTCTTGATCTTTCTGGTTTCTACACCAGGAAAAATCAATGCTCACTAGAGATGTCAGCTGACATCATGTAACATTGATTGCTGCTCCCATGTAGTTCCAACTCTGTTGTTACCCAACTACAACGGCCCCTTTGTGTGCTACAGGGGGCTGAGGCAGAGTTGAGCTGGATTTGTAATGGGCAGTACACTAGAGTTAGCTTGATGCCACTTGTCATCAAGTGTTCATTGTTTTTTCCTGGTGCTGTTTCACTTGGAATTTATTGCTTTTCCAGCTGAAAATTGCTCTGAAAAGTACATCAGAATGTGACCATTTTTTGCTATGAGAAGAAATCAACGAAGTACAAACTTTGACTTCTTTCTTTTTCACCATAAATGAAACACCAGGTGTTCATAAACTAAGATTGCTTAATTTTCTTACAAGGATTGTGATTAATCCAGTCCAATGCACTTAAGTGCAAGATCAAATCATTGAAGATGTGAATCTGGATAGATTTGAGAAAGAAAAAAAAAAGTTATGCAGTGGAATGGAGAATGATTCATGGAGTTCTGTATGTGCTGCCATGGAACATTCTTTTGCCTGAAACATAAGAGGCTATGTATGGGAATTATCCCCAAGCATATGCCATCTGGTATGCACATATTGAGGACCCCCAAGACAAGCACTCATGATTCTCATACAGTTATAGTGTTTTTGTTTGAAGTACTTTAGCTGAGTGTTTCGAAAGGAGTTGGTTTGAATCCTGTTGCCATTGGTACGGGTTTGATGAGTCCCTTGTGTTCTTGTATTATGTTTTGTTCGGCGGGTCGTCAGCCTCTGCAAGTTAGGACTGACTACCTTTTCTTCACGACCGGCAAAGGGTTAATCCGTGCCACATTACAAGCAGCCGAGTCAACGATCCCTCTTGCATCCGGAAAATGCGTCGCAATACATGGATGAGTGCAATCTTCACGATTTCATGCTTGACGGTATTTGATCACTTGCAATGCGTCCAATCTTTCGGTGACATCAAAGACGTAAGTTCTGCTTCCAAAAGAATCGCCAGCGCAGCCGATTCCGATCCACATGTATCCGTTAGACGTGAAGAATCGCCTCCCAAGAAGCGTGCTAGAGAATCTCTGGGAACAAGCAGAAGTTTGTCTCGCACAGGTGGGGACTCGGTGCTTTAAATGCTTATGTATCAGCCCTATCATATCTTCAAAAAATGAGCAAAGCTAACAAACGTACATCTCAATTTGCTGCCTGTGCGAGATAGGTTCTTCTTCGGAAGATCTGATTATAACCAGTGAAAATACGTCAAGTTTAAGAACCGGTAAATGTGCCTTGAAAAAACTCCAGACATTTCCAGCTGCTGACAAATTGGCATCATTAGAGGTAGATAAAAATGTGTGGAGATGTTACATGCAAACTTTGAAGGCTTTCAATAACTGGATGCTCGACTTCTTGCGACTCCCTATGGATCTCGCGGAAAAAGAGACATTTCGGGAGCAAATGAAAACCGTGATCAAGTCCCTGTCACAGCTATTCGAGCAGAAGATCTACGAATTGAGAGGTCAAGAATTCACATGGGAGCCTCTTCCTTCTGATGTCTCCCTGATGATTGGTGAGAAGTGGAAAGTGGCGTGGCTCAGCTCAGTTGCGGACATCAGCAAGACTTGGAAAAATTTGGATCCGAAGAGTCGACGAGCTGGTTCAATCATTCGACGAGGAAGTGATCTAATGATCGATTCATTCATTGATATGGACAGGCTTGGAATCATCAGTCCTGGATGTCTGTCTCATTTTTTGAACAAGGTCGATAGAGGAAATTTAATAGCGACCCACGTCATTAGCAGATATTCGTTTAAATTTCCTAATATTTACGATGTCTATCTGAACTTGAACACGAAACTAAGCCTTACAGAGTGCCCCTCCACGAAGAAAATGACCGGGCTTATGCGAGGTGAGTGAGAGAAGCTGATTTTTCGCCCCCACATCTTAATCATCAAATTGAGAAATTATTCTTTGACTAGAGTTGGAACCTGGGTCTTGGGAGCGCATTGAATTCTACTGTCTGAGGAATTGGCTGATACAGTACCAGTCGATCTACCCGAAAGAAGGGCGGTTTGCAGCCATCAAGGATCGGTTCTTGGAGGTAGCATCACCGGACAACGAATTTCCTGTCACCAAATTGCAAGCTTTCCTGGGAGCCCTGTTCACTCATATCTCTTCACAATCTAGGATCCGAGAAAATGAGAAAGCAAAAAAACTGACTGAATTCAAGTTTCTATACGACATGATGTCTTTCATCATGTCTTATCGTTCATCAAGCATCTCGGCCGAGTTCATGGGAGGTATGCAACGCTCGTGGCTCTTAGACCAGATCCGTGCTTTTGAAGAGTCGGTTGGCTTAATATCAAGTATCATGTACTCAGTTCATGTGCGGAGAAAAGCAACACTACTTACCATCCCCACAAGACGCCCTGTATTAAGGAAAATGCTAGCGAAGATGACAGATAAATTGGTCGATTCAAGCAGCAATAGACGGATCTCAAGCTTTTCCGATTTTGCCGATGGCGATCTAAGTTCTGGGAGTTATGAGCAACAAGCAAAAAACAACGCGTGGGACCTTGAGTCAAAAACCAAGCCTCCTGCATTAATCCAAGCGCTGTCCACTGATCCCATCGAAATCAGAGATTCAATCGAAAAAATCAATCATCAGTTCAGAAATTATCGGATTCAATTGGAGGCATTGAAGCAAAGACACGCGTTCATTCACCCTACCTTTTGTGCCTTTGTCGGCGATTTTTCTCCATTGAGTGTCTATTTACTCCGCGTGTATGAGCTTGAAGTAGAGCGTACCATTTTGCACAACACACGACATCGATGATTAAATAGCTCTTATCTGAAACTAGTAAATCAGACAATTTGAATTGCATTTGCGGTCTTATTTGTGATATAATTTTTTCATCATAATTTTTGTGAGCTTCTGTGGGATCAAAATATTTGCATCTTTCTTCTTGAATTAAATATCTCTTAATTAATTCAAACATCTTTTACTTTGGTATGTTTTACTCCTGAAAATAAAATGAAAAAATGTATTTTCTTTGTCAGCTGATCAAGTTGTCTGGTTTTATCTGGGGAGCTATCATATTACAAGGTGTGTGTATCTTACTATGAAGACAAAGAGTTTTCAAAAATAAAAATCCATGGTCTATTTGATTCTACATAGGGTCTGATATTGGAGGACTTCCCATCACCATTTAAAGTGTTTTCTTAGACCCCCCCTCAGTTCTAATTTCTAAATTAACACTAATTAAAACCACAACCAGCTCACATGACAGCCATCACAAGAAAGATTGTGAAAAATGTTTTTTGTGCCAAAATTTAAGATTGAGGTGGTGTAAATTGAGTTCTGGTGGGTTTCTAAATCCCAATAGGAAGTCATGCGTATTTTCTACTTTGCAAGACAAGCAGTGCAAGGATAAAATCCACACATGGCATACCAAATTGAATAAATACTACTGCCAGGATCTTAGAGCTTCCGCATCAGTTGTCAACTTAGCTTGGATTGAGGCACTTAATCCAATTGTGCAACCATATCAGGTCAGATTAAGACAGGATCAACGTGATCCAGATCTCTGTTTACAGCTAGTTGGGTCTAAATATAGCACCCAGTAATCCTCAGACTAAAGTCAAGTTGAATATTCATCATCACCAGGATTAAGAAGGATCAACACATCTCCCCCTGAGCCCCTCCATATACATATGTAGAACATAATATGGATAGCTTTCAAAGATCTGGGCCATCATCTCTCAAAATGTTATTATTTTGCTGTGTGTCCAATATTATGCTTACATCTATTTATTATTTTAATAATAGTGTACAAACTTTACAAGTATTCAATTGATTATTACTTTGCAGCTACTATGTACAGTGCCCTCCCAGTTGTTTATGGCACATGTATTTCTTAATTTAAAAAAAAACTAACAATGATAAATTTCCAATTCTTTGTGGAGTGGCGGAATGGGGGATGATAAGAAGGAATATGAAACAAAAAAAACAAAAAGCAAAATTCATTACATTTCAAAAAAATGAAAGCATCATTCAAATTTTTTATTTTCTTTAATAATTTTTTAAAAAATACAAAATCAAGTGGGGAGGGTAGCTGGGATCTGGTTGATAATGATTATGAAATAAAAAAAGCAAAAAAATAAAAAATAAAAACAAAAAAAAATATTTGATTGGCCCACCAGAGGCCTCCACAACCAGGTGCATCCGGTGGGGTTGTTGCTGCTGGTTGACCTGAAGATGGGGCACCGTTGATGGCTGGGACACAGATGGTCTTTTAGGATGATCGGATGGGCCATCTGGCCGAGTGATTGTGGATGGGCCGTCTGGCCAAGTGGGTGTCGGAGGAGAGCCAGCGACCTCCTCAACTGTTTTGTGGCATGACATCGTCGACTTGGCAATCGGCTCATGGATGTGCCGGTCGTGAGGTTGGTTCGTCCTCGTATATGTCATGAGTTCCTGGTCACGATGAATGCAAAAACAAGAAAAAAAATCAGAAGATGAAAAAGAAAAAAGAAGAAAATAGCAATAGAAATGTGAACCTCATGAGTGTATCAATGCTGTTCAAGGTATCAATCTTGATCGGTATCGATGTTTTTCCGAGTATCGACTTCATTCGGAGGTTGATTGTTGATGATTTGGTGATCCAATGAGTTGAGGCAAAGAGGTTGACTTGCACCTGCACACTGCAGTTTAGTGCGCGGGTGCAAGTCAACTTGTGACAGTTCACCCCCAGACATAAACATCTGGGAGGATACTGTACATTTTAAATACTGCGAAAGGTGCTCTGTGGCTGACAACTCAGCTCAACCGTTAAAATTTGATTAATCTGGAATTTTTGTGAACATTTCTACATTTCAAATCCACTTCTATACTAGTCTCACCATTGTTGGTATCTTGTCTATAATTACTCTAGTGTCTCTGCTTACTCTCACAAATGAATATGATTTTTCTATAACTTTTTTGAACCAAAAAAACTCACTTCAAATGTCTTGTTTCTCTCATGTTGAAAATTTGTTACTTATGGAAAGTTCAATATGTTTTTTTTTTTTTACTTTTGATGTATATTGGAAGTCTTCCCGTCGAATTTACAGCCCCCTGTAAAGCTATTTTTACAAGCTCGTGAAACCGTTTTCCCAGCGAAAAATTAGCTTTACAGCCTGTAAATCTAGCTTTACAAGGCCTGTAAAACCACTGGAAGTCTTCCCGTCAAATTTACAGCCCCCTGTAAAGCTATTTTTACAAGCTCGTGAAACCGTTTTCCCAGCGAAAAATTAGCTTTACAGCCTGTAAATCTAGCTTTACAAGGCCTGTAAAACCCACGGGAAGTCCTCCATTATCATGAAAATACATCATTTAGATACATGAGATTCTCCTGGTAAATTTAAATTGCTGGAATTATCACTTTTACCACTGAGCATCACAAATGAGAAAAGAGGTCCCTGATCTGGTTTCTGTGTATGGCTGGATAATTCATCTTGAGTGATCAAATCAATGGCTTGCAAAGAGATGAGGGGGTTTGGTTGAGGTAGAATTAGTTTGAACAAGTCAGAAAAACTGTACAAATGGGGTGGATATCTATATTCTACCATCATGCTGTGAAGAATAATGCAGGACCTCATGATTTTCACAAGATCACTAGGGTATCATTGCAGAGCTGGCTTTGGAAGTATCTTCCATTGGGCTTTTAGGATCCCAAATGCTTGTTCCACATCTTTCCACATTGATTTTTGACTCTGTGTATATTATCTAGTCTCTTGAGCTTGTGCCAATCCTTTTGACTTGATCAGTGTAGACCAGCTTGTATAAATTCCATTGACTAGATGTAACCATTCTTGTAATGGTTATTTTCAACTTCAAACCAAAATTTTCAGGAAAAGGGGAGAGTGTTTGAGTACATTGATATTGTTCAGAGATCTAGGAGTACTAAAGAAGGTGTGCCCAGTCCAAGTATCTTTAGTTGCCACTGCTTTGAGAAAAATTGTTGGCCCCTTCTCCTTGCCTTTAAACTGCACAGCGTAGGCAGTTTGGCAAATTTTCCAACCCCATTGCATGCAATAAAGGCTTCCAACAAATTCTAGAAATTCTCTTGTAGCATTTTGACTTAAAATCCTCTTCAAATTGTCTTTGTTTGGGATTTGTGGGTAGGTTGAACTGTAGAGTTCTTGAATAGCAGTACAGTTTAGAGATGGTCAACGGGTATCTGTTGCGGATACCCGCCAGCGGGTGCGGATGGCCCCTTTTCTGCAAAAAACTGGCGGGTATCCAGGTATCCCAAATGATACCCAAGGCCTGAAGGGGAGAGGGCCGGCGGCAAGGTACATGTACCTCAACAGCTGGAAGGAAATCCTTCCAGTTGACGAGGTACATGTACCTTGTCAACCGGAAGGAAACATGTACCTTGTTGACCAGAAGGAAAACCTTCCAGCCGGTGAGGTACATGTACCTCGCCAACCAGAAGGAAATCCTTCCAGTCGGCAAGGTACATGTACCTTGTCAAACAGAGGGAAAACCTTCCAGTTGGCAAGGTACATGAACCTTGCCGGCTGGAAGGTTTTCCTTCCAGCCGTCAAGCATGTACCTTGCTGGCTGAAAGGAAACCCTTCCAGCCGTTGCCTTGCCGGCCCTTTAAAGGGCGGGTATTGGTGGATACCGGCTTGGATACCTGCTGCGGCCAACGGATACCCGCCAGCGGGTGCAGATGTGGATGCGGATGGTGATTTCCCCGGAAAAAGAGGCTGGATATCCGCATCCACACGGATATCTGGATGCGCCGGGGCCATCTCTAGTACAGTTAATCCCAAAAGGCTTCCTGTTTTTGGGATGGAGGTATTTCCAAAGTTTCTTCTTGTGCCACTGATTTTTAGCACCTCTGCAGGTTCTGATTTGGCTGCCAAGGCCTTGTCGAGGGTCCAGATACCTGCCAGCTGCCAGACAGGGACTGATAGAGACCCACGTGATGACTGGGTCCTACACAAAAAATTGAGAGGAATACAATGATCCAACCCCCATATGCTCAACTCTAAAAATTCGGGAGTTGTTTTGTATTGCCAGGAGTACTGTGGCCATACAGGACCACTTGCAAGAGAAAGTGGTGCAAAAAAAATCAAAATACAGCCATCCCAACGCCTCAAGCTTGCTGGGATTGACCGTGCAAAAAATTGCCATGCTTTTAGATGTGGTTTCTCCAAGGTGGCAGTATTCATCTGTGGTGTCAAAAGGCATCACATAGCCTAATTGTTGAAGGATGGAAGTCACTTTTTTGTTCAGGGCTGAGTCCAAGTATTCCTGTACAGTCTGGCCTCCAGACAAAGTAAGAATAGTTTGCAGTCAACTCTTGAAGAATGCGCCTGAAGACTTCTTTATCAAGTCAAAACTGTCTTGAGAATTTGTGTTCATAGTAGAATTGTTGAAAAGGTAGTCTTTCATGAGCTTAGAAGTTGCCAATTGCATAGGCACAGGTGGTGTTAACAGAGGCAGCTTAAGCCTCACCAAAATTCTTGACTGTTTAGGGACCCAAAAGTACAAGGAATTCACTGCAAGAAAAAGTTAGGCAACTGTGTGTAGTTGACATGTGATATTACAAAGGTGCCTCTGTAATATCACATATCAATTACACACAGTTGCCTGCCTTTTTCTTCCAGTGATAAGAGTGGGGAGATAAAAAGGGCAGAATCACAAACACAACTGTCTTCTGAGATATGTACCTCAGATGATCAAAGAAAATGTGATCACCCATTGATTCTTTTGTTACACTGTTATGGCTTGAGAGGTCTTCTAACACTTGTGTTGGAATTGATAAATCTTTCTTCCGGTGGTACTTTCAGGAAGGTATGTACATAAACACAAGAAATGTCAATGAGAAGGCCGAATTCCATGGTTATTTATTCACGAGTTAAACTAATCCAGCTGGGTGTTTCAAATTGGTTTAGTTTCAGTCTCTGTTGTTCCTTTGGCAAGAGTTTCTCATGTGCCTTGTGCCTTTGACACGAGTTTGGAACATGTTTAGAAAACGTGTCATGTGCTTCTGGACCGAATCTCTTTCGGCTTGTCGGCTTGCTATGTAGTGCCAGTCGGTCGCAACTCCAGATTGCGTCTTACCTTCCGAAAAAATTAGTAGGACTATTTGTGCCACTGCCTGACAGGTCATTTCTCTAATCGATCTCTCTAGCTCGTCTAAATCACGCGTCCGAAAAATGCGTAAAACTTTCTGGATCAGTGTAATCTTAACAGTATCATGCTTGGGGATCTTGGAGAACTGGCAGTGTGTCCAATCTGTTGAGGATGTGAAAGACCTCAGCTCTGTCGCCAAAAGAATCCGTGGTAGAGAGGAGTTCGATGAACATTTACCCAGTGACCATGAAGAGACATCCAAAAGGAAGAAGATCTTGACAGGAAGTGGCACTTCATCACGCGATCTAGGTAGAGTTCTCTCTTTACTGAATGCTCAATATTTCCTACAACAAACTTTCCTGAATATTTCATGACTTAATGTTGGGATATTGGTGGATCTAGTTGACAAGTCTTCTTCATACCTGTATATTCAAATCAGGTTTGACCTCGAAAAGTCTGATCACGAATGCAGGCAAGTCGGAACTTAGAACAGGTTAGTGATCAGGCACACGATTTTTTGTTTGGACATGTATATCCATTGACATTCCGGAATGATCACTCCACTACCAATTCTCCATATCAGAAGCAGAGAAAAACGTTCTGAAGAATTTCTTGAACACCAAAAAGGCTGTCAATGACTGGAAATTTGATTTTTTACAACTTGGATGGACTGCTCCGCAACAAGTAAGATTCCAGAAAGAAATGCAAGTCGTAATGGAGTCACTATCGAAGCTGTATGAACATAAAATCTACGAGTTGAGAGGTGAGAAGTTCAAATTTCAGGTGACGCCTGCCGGGGACTCCCAGATGACGGATGAGAAGCAGCAAGAGGAGTGGCTCAAATCGGTTGCAGACATCAGCAAGACTTGGAAAGATTTAATGGATCCGGAGAGTGGTGCTCACTCAATACTTAAGAGAGGAAGTGATCTGATGATTGACTGCTTCATTGACATGAAAAGGCTTGGAATCATCACCGACGGGATCCTCTCTAGGTTTCTAAACAAGAACAACGAGGGAGATTTGATAACCACTTACGCGATTTGCAATTTCACTCCTTCCCTCACTTTGCCCAAAGTTTATGTGAACTTCAACATAAAACTCAGCCTGCTGGAATGTCCCTCCACCAGAAAATTGAGCCCGCTTTTGATACGTGAGTGGAAAAGAAGTGCGGTTATGTTCTTCACCTGTTTATCTGATTATTTTACAATTAAATATGTAACAGACTTGGATCCGAGGACTTGGGAACGGATCGAATTCGATTTTCTGGGCTATTGGCTTGGGGAGTTCCAGGCGATGTACCCCTCACTTTCAGAAGAGACTTCAGCATTCGATGGCATCATAGATACTTTCTTGAAGGTAGCATCACCGGACAACCAATCTGGCACGGAAGTAGAGGCACTCCTGAAAGACCTACTCCTTCACATATCTTCTCAAACTAGGATTAGATTAGAGGAAGGGCGAGCTCGAAGGCTGATCGAATTCAAACTGTTATACGATATGACGAAGTTCATCATGTCTTGTCACTCGTCAAGAATCTCGGTCGAATTCTTGGGAAAGTTGAAGCGCTCGTTACTCTTTAACCAGATCCGCACATTCGAGGAATCAGTTGGGTTATTCTCAAGTATAATGCACTCGGTTCATGTCCGAAGGAAAGCGACACTACTTGCCGTCCCCATGGGGCACCCTGAACTTTTAGAAAAACTAAAGAATGGAGTAGAAAAATTAATAGATTCAAATCGAAACAGACGGATTTCAAGCTTTGCCAATTTAGCGGATGATGTTAATCAAGTTTCCTACGGTAAATATCAAAAAATTGCTGAAACGAATGCAGAAAAGTTCGTGTCACAGTTTGAATCAAGCTTGACAAAGATGTTACCCGCTGATCCTATGGAAATCAGATATTCAATCGGAAAAATCAAGGAGCAGTTCCAAAGATACTGGATTCAATTCCAGATATTAATGGAAAGAGAAAGCATGCTTTTCCAAAATTTCTCGGAGTTAATGGCAGGTTTCTCTCGTGCCGAAACCTACTTAGTCCACCAGTTGGAAAAGGGAGAACAGGAACTTTTCAAAAGATATGGGGTTCCTCATTAGTTTATGTCTATTTATGTATGCAGGTTAAACTTGGTAAATCAGAACTTATAATTTGTGGCTGGATTCTTGTAGATATTGTGCTTTATTTTGGGCCTTCCTCACTGCTTTCATGAACTTCTTACTCCATTTCAGTTGATACAGTCTCCTTATAATATCAGTGTCCGTTGTTTATAAGGGGATTAAAATTTTCTGCAAGATTTCCACCCTTGTAACTTTGAGTGAAGCACCAGCAACTGGTGAATAGTCAAATTATGTTGTTTAAAATTACTTGTTTAACTTCTTAAGGCCTGTAGTAAGTGATGTGAAAATTCAATTTTTCATGATTTATCTTTCTCAAGTGTTCATAGCTTCACAAGTCACCATCACCAAATGTCAAAGTCCATTTTGTCTAGCCAGACACTCTGGTGCCAGTGAACCTACTTGATGAGGTCAATTTACCAAGCTAATTAACACAACTTTCCGCCCCTGTGTACCCATTAGTGCTCTGTAACAGACCAGTCTCTAGGATTTTGGTTTAGAGGTTGTAAAGTTAAAAGCCCCCAACAAGCCTCATTGAACCCATACCACAGCCCCAACATTTGGACCTGGGTCATGTTTATACCTAGGTACCTGTTCATTTTTTCAAGAAAATAGATACTATGTACCGCACCAGACACCTCCCGGGGGGGGGGGGGGGTACCAGAGGTACCTCCCCTCTCTTTCTCACCTAGTTCCACTAGCTATCTCAACATGACTTCATATCCTGTGTACTAGATCTGTGGAAAAATGAAACTGGATATGCTGTTTTTTTTTTTTACTTCTTCACACTATTTTAACAAAAATAAAGAAAAAATATGGCATATCCAGTACTGGATATGACGTAGTGTTGAAAGTGTGTAGTCAATTCTTTCAATTTTTTCATATTTATTACTAGTACATACATGCCCCCATTTTTGGGGAGTTTTGGTTGGCAATTTTTTTTCATTGGGTGATTACTTGATGACCTATGTAATGTATTGGGTTTTTCCCAAGTTGCACACCTGTCTGTCTTGGCCTAACGCCGGTGTTGACAAAGCAACAAATGTGAATTGGAGGTGGATGCCGGCATTAGATTGCATGGCATTTTGTTTGGCTCTCTAAGCCTATTTTGTTAGTTATATGTAGATAAAATATGCAGCCCTCCCACCCACCCCATGTTAGGGAAGTACCTGCGGTGCCTGGGGTACCTCCTGTTTTTTTTTTTCTCAAAAACAGACACCTGGCACCTCCTGGCGGGTGCAAGGGGTACCAGGTACCTGCAAAAAGTCCCGCGGAACAATCTCTACAACATTCAGGTCAATACTCAATTTCCAATTCCCAACATAGCAATCAAACCTGCCAGAAATGGTGTACCATGGAAGCCTCATCTGCAATATTCTAGATATCTCTGGAGGAAATGTCCTGCATCCTGTGATCTGCTTCCAGAGAAGCACTTTATGTGGTGGTGGTAGAGACTGTGATACTGCTGCCAGAAGGCCACAAGATGCTTCTCCTTAGTTGATGCAGAGTTGATTGGGGATCCTTTGGACAGGAAGGAGAGAGAGAGATTGTGTTACTGAGGGGATGGACCATTATTAGTATCTAAATCAGAAGAGCCTATAATAAAGCTTATACCAACTGATGACAGGGGTGGTGGTGGCTCTGTGATTAAGCTACCAAGGGTTGCAGGCCTTGTCTCTTGATTTAATGAGCAATTTTGGATGGGGCAAGGGGAGAGGGTTGACCCAACCCACCTAGATGTTCAAGTGGAGCAAGTCAGCCTGGATGCAAATCGTGACCTGAACCTAAATGGGTTGACTTGCTGGGTGGTCCAACAGTGAGCCAGGTGCACTCCAGAGGCTCAATTCTCTCAACACAAATCTTTCTAGCTAGTTTTCCACTACTTGGACATTCAAAAAAAAAAACCAATTAAAAAAAAATGCAGGTCATGCTGGATGGCGCCTGATGCAAAATTGGTGGGGGCAGGTCTGGAAATGGCACAAAGATGACCCAGGAATGAATCGGGTGGGGAACCCTGACACCTTTTGAAATCAGCAGCACTCTCCCAAACTGAAGAGCCCACAACAGACTGAATCCCTCCTTCAACAACCGCACTTACTTTGGGTTATAAGAAGCCAGGCAACAAACATAATACAGATCTTCTTTATTTGTTTTTTTGCCTAAATTGAACAAAGAGAAAGAATTAAATGAACAACGCATGAGGGGAGCATAGTCACAAACAAGCATATATATATATATATATAATTATTGAAAATGAAAGAAAGAAAGAGAAGGAAAAAGTGAGATTGAGAAAGTCAAAAAGAGAGACAGGAAAAACAAAACAAATAAATGTATGTAAATTGAATAGATCTTTGTTCATATAAGTCACTGGATCATTAAAGAAAGACAAAAGAAGAAACAAGTGTGATTATATAAATTAGACCAAAAGAAGGAAGTAAAGGAAATGAAGATATAAAAGTATAAGGATATAATAGAAGAGAAGAGAAAAAAAAAATGCGAGCTATGTAAGAGATATAAAGTAACAATTGGACTGGGGTTTATTTTTTGTTTCAAAAAAAGTGGATTGAGTGGAAAGAGTGGATCTGAAGATAGCTGGTCAGAAAGCAGACTAGAGGGAGTTAAGAGTATCAAGGGCGATTTGGAGCTGATTTTTAGCGGTGGAGATATCGTCGAAGTTGAGTGCGGAGATAGCCCACTTAGCGTGTTTCTGAGCCTGAGCGATTTTGATGGGGTTGACGAGGGTATTACTAGTCGGAAGAGTCGACGGGATTTGGATGGCGCTATTATTATTGTTGTGAGAAGAGGAGGAGGAGGAGGAAGGTTGAGTGAGTGAGGTGGCAGGGTCGAGGAGGTTGGTGGAGTGGGTGTTGTTAGGGGGGACGGAGGCGGCGGAAGTGGAGTAGAAGGTCTGTTGGACGGGGTGACTAGTCTGGGTGCTAGTCGGTTCGATTGATGACGACGAGCCAGGGACGACTGGGAATCGGGAGAGATGGGTTGCAGGGGGTTGGGCGGTGGATGGGAGGCCGGGAGGGCCGGGCGAGGGCGCGGGGAAATCGGGGGCGGGCAGGCTGGGGTTGGTGTTCTGTGAGGTGGGTGGGAAGACGGTGGATGGGAAGGGGCTCGGCTTGCCCGAGGAATTGGTGGCCGATAGGTTGGGCGCCAGGACCGGCGACGGAAGCTTGGTCATCGAGCTCGTCGCTAGCTCCGTCGGCCAGTCGCTGTACCCTTCCTGCGATCGGGCCGACTCTGGTAATGGCGGTAGATCCCTGACTTCGGCATGGTTCGGTCGGTTTAGTGACTCTACTGGCGAGCGGGCCACACCTTCGGATGCGGGTTGACTTGTGCTATTCCCATCCCGTATCGCTTTCGAGATCGAGCCCGCTTTCCATTTCGAATATTTGATCTTTTGCATTATCTACAAAAAGGATTGATCGTTGTTTTTAACTTAAGACCACAACGAGCAATGATGGAAGGAACTCAGGGTAGAAGAAACATCTGACGAACGTCTGGTTCAGGCTGGTTTGTCAGTGACTGCAAGACTTCTAGGAAACATGCGGCGGCCAAAAACCTCTGGGCTGTAGTTCTGTCAAATCAAACGATCATATCATCCAAAGCTTTTGAGCTCTATATTTCTAAGACATTTCCACCAATTACGAGACTGATTTTGTTTTGTTATAGATGGATTTATGTACCTGGTCGAAAGGCCTTGTTGGTCTTCCTTATCAGCCCCATCGAAAATCTTGAGCGCAAAGTTCTCGACATACGCCGTTGCCGCGAGATTATTAGTGATCGCATCGTTCTCCGAGAGTTGGGTTTTGGCCTATACACAAACACATGAACATTTAAATTTTTTTTTTTCTTCTAGTCAATAAACTTCTGAAAAGAAAACTTGTCCGAGCTGAGAAAACATACCAAGCATCATGAACAGACAATAAACATAAGGGGGGAAAAAAAAGATAGAAAAAGATATGGATGGGGCGAGACTAACGTGTTCGAGGAGGTCCAATAGACGCATCAGAAATTCTCTACTTTCGGGTTCGTTGTGACCGATTGACATGCAAGTTTGAGCGGCATGAAAGGCGCCTAATAACCAGATACAAAGAAGATTAAATGTTGATCTGAGTTTGAGAATAGAGGTCAAGAAAGAGCAGATTAAGACTGACACCAATAAGAGATCACAGGGTCCACCTTTTCCATCTCTTTCGCCCGCTGAAGATAAGGATTGACCGATTTCAAGCCGGCTGGTGATCCGGGCAGACTGCTGAAGTTCATCGCTTGCCGTTGTCCTTGCATCCGGGGTTCTTGCCTTTGAGGAGGTGGTGTGTGGTTGAGCAGTTCGCGGCAGAGGCTGTTCTCGGCCAATCCGACTGATCACTTTCCCGAAATACTCCCCAACCATTCACAGCACGCATTAGCCCCCCACCCCCCGCCTCCCCCCGATCGCAGTACCCACCCTTGGACCCGTCACCCGACCGACCCGACTGCGACCACTGCATCTGACCCGGGTCATCGTTCACAGTCACACCAACGAATCCCCTCACCAGATTCTGCCAAAGCTTTCATGAGTGGACACCGTGATTAATCTTGGCATGAAATTTTTCAAGAACATCCTCTAACCAAATAGGGGTTCACAATATAAACAAATTCACAAGCAACAATTTTGGCAATTCCATTAAGAAATCATCAAAAACTGTCTACATCTAGTAGACTAGCACCTCACATCACGTCAGAGGTGTCATGACGTGGCAGCTGCCGAGAGTCACTGAGCTGAATCATGAAAGAGAGCAAATGTTTAGCTAATTTTAGGCTATAATTTGGACTACACAGAGTCGGATTTTGAGGCCTTGGCCAACAGCATCAGATGGCAGATGGAGATAGATCTTGTACCACTTGTTTTGCTCTTCCTAAATTCCGTGCAGATTGTTTGGGTGGTTTTTGGCCAGTCATGTCACCTGCTGCGGCCGGTGTCTGCTGCGCCGGCGCTGATTGCGCCCGCCTCAGCCATCGCATATGATTTGACCACCCGCATACATCCAACCACCGACCGAGGGAGGAGCCTCATCAAAATCTGGACTCTGCACCAGCAATCATTTGGACTACGTAGGTGTCTTATAAATGGCTCCGAAGAGGAAAACATCAGCAGGAAAGAAACATCGGAAACAGGGTGGTAAGTAGGGTTCGTTCCTTTTTTGTGTCCAACCCATCCACCGATCTGATCACCAACAGGCACTTAAATGATAAATGGTAAATAACTGCATGTTCTACAGATCGGGTCGTCGAAGGCTTCGAACGTCTGATCAAGAAGTTTGATCCAACAGCCGCGGGTAATATTCTCCGAAGTCATGTTCATGAACCTTTCCAGATCGACCAATCCGAAGTAAAACGAGATCTCTTGCACGATCTACGCTCGAATCTTCTACCGCAACTCGGAGGCCAAATAATAAATCTCTTGCTACTGCTAGACCCCAATCGCTTACGGGAAGATCCAGGCGGACATCTCAAGCTTATCTTGGGCATCCAATCAGAGCTTGACCAAACTTTAAGCCGAATCGAATCCGCAACTTTCTCGTACCCTCATGCAACAGAACCACTATCCGACTCGATCGAATTCAAGGACCAAGATCTCAAAGAAATCAAATGGTTTCGACTAGACGGCCTGTACTGGCGGATCAACGGAGAATTTCTGGTAGTAGTCACCCGTATCTTCCTCGAATCCAATGAGCTCCTTCAACAAATGAAACTCTCAACAACCGAGTTTCACGACCAACCGGACATAGATTACACCAGAGAACAAATCGTCTACTACGCGTCTTCATCCTTGGAAGGAATCGAGTTGGCAATCGAATGGTTAGATGGATCTGAGTTTGATCTTGTGCAAATAGATTGGCCCAGCGAGAACGACGGATTCAGTGAGAACATGGATGATCTCTTGAGCCTGACCAATCGAACGTCGCACTTAGAGCAAGGCATCATAACAGGCGGGAGCGCACCGGGAGATGATCCAGCGATCAAGCTGTCGAAATCGCTCTTACCGGTCTTCAAACTATGCCGACTCCTGTTCAAAAAACTATCGAAACGAGGCTTGAACAAAGAACATCTCCCACTGTTCACAAAGGCGTCTTCGGTCGAGCTGGAACATGTAGCTGATATGGGTAGCGTCGTCAGCTATGGTCTCCGGAACTTCTTGGGCGTGTTGGAATCGGTCGATAGATCTCGCAACAGATTGGCCCATCCTGATTGCGCTATCATGGCCGCCAAAATCCAAGATCACGTGGAAATAGATGTATCCCTGATAACCCATTATTTCGTTCCTCTGATCCCGGACACCGACCCTCTTCCGATTCAAAACCATTACAAGGATTGGCTTGCTACCTGGACCTCTCAGTTCCGTTTGGCCATCCGGAACTTTCTAAATGCCGCGTTATCATTCGATGAAGGTACCTTATAGTATCTGTGTTTGTATTGTCTCTCTAGTCTTTCTTTTCTCGTTCTCAGCTTTCTATTTTAAATTTTGTTGAACCCTGTGCAGTGCATTATCTGAAGGTATTTGAGCCTTTTTACGAACATTGTTGTTTTCAATCTCAATTGCTTTCTCCTGTCTACATAGCAAAGTCAATGTATCTTTTAGTTGCTTGGAAGATTTCATTTTTTAAGACCTGGGTCCCCAGGGAGCCATTGTTAGGCACACTTAAAAAATACGCTGGTATGGGCAAAAACACACTTTTACTAGATCGGGGATTTGTTTTTAAATTTGGTGAGGAATGAAGCTTAGATACCATTTCTGGTCATAAAGTGGTATAAAAAGGATAGGCGATGCCACATGGACTCTCCCGAACCCTCATATGGCAAGGTAAGAGATTGGCATCACGGCGCCGAAGCGAGGCTCTCCCGGCGCGCCGCCGCCTCCCGGACGGCTGGATCGTGCAAGTCGAATTTCGCGGCCAACCGGTCCAGCGTCATGGAGAGCCGGAGGTCCGTTTGACGGTGTGCCGGATTGAGAAGAAATGAGCCCACGACTCCGAGGATGTTGACCTGTATTCCATTCTTCCCCTCTGCATACATAATCTCTTCCCCCGAGTTTTGTGCTCCCCCAAACACGAGAATCAGAATGTTTGGTTGACAACGTTTCAAGCCCCATCGAATCCCTCGGGACTTCGTCACTCATCTTGAAACATAAGAGTAAATAGATTTTGTAAAGCGTCTTTTATAGCCGATTGCTTTTTCGAAGATGATCGAAAGGTTTCTCATCTTTAATATCTGACAGCGAGTTTTCGCGCGCTTCATTCGGCCATCGAAGGCATTGCTCCTTTTCTCTCTTGTCCTTCCAGTACAACGGATCTGTTCCATCATCTGTTATCTTTTCGTTCGTTCCTTGAGTCCAGCTCATCTACAATTCCACATATATCCACATATACTACTTGATTTAAACCCATCCTTCGCTATAAAGATCGTGATGCCGAGCGTCAAGAAAGACCAAGTGATCGCGACTCTGTACTCCAGAAACACGCTCATTCTCGCACTGCTCCTCTTAGTCAGTCTCTCCGCGGCTCGTCCGATAATCGGCCAAACTAATCCGGTAGCGGTGGAAACCTCGATCTACAAACGAGGCTTCTTGAGCGCAACAAAAGAGGCTTTCGAATCCACACAGGCCATCAAGGATGCCGGCGAGACGGCTTCTGAGGCTAAGAATCTGAAGAATGCTCATTCCGCCACGTCTTCGAAAGCGGCCCTTCATGGTGAGTTGGCAATCCAATATAAGGGGTATTTTAAACAGACAAATGAAAAAAAGTACAAAATATTTGCTATGAGCCGATCAACTGACGAATAATACTCCCATTCTTGCCTGACCGATGGTCTGCTCTCCCTCAGGCGGACCTTCGAAAAAGGCACGGCTAGAAAAAGACACAAAAGATTTGTTCCTTCGTAAGTCTTTTGAATAAATGAGAAAAGTATACATCATGCTAACTAAAAAGATACCTATCTCCTGCTGCAAACCGAATTTCTTTCTTTTTCTTCAGCACAAGCCCCAGAAAAAACACCTTCGCTAGACAGTGGAAAAGATTTAACTGGTGGTGAGCTCTCCCAACTAAAACTAGGATCACTATTTCCACAATCACGGTTATCCTTTATCTCAGTTGATCACCTCTATAAGTGAACCCGTCATACTGGAAGACAGGATTCTTAAATCCCATTCCTCTGCACTAGAAAAAAAAAGTCAATTTTACTCTTCAGAAAATGCTGGAATCCATTACTGACATAGTTTGAATATTTGGTCCACCAGCGAAGACCTCCCTTGATCCCAAATCCGCCCAGGCAAAGCCATTTTCAGCAGAAGAAGCGAAAGGTGAACAACCCAAACCTGGAAAGGCAAATGCTGAGCCATTTCGGGGGGAAGAATCCAAGAGTGAACAAGCGAAAGCGGAACAAGCAAAAGCAGAACAAGCTAATGCGAAACAGAAAAAAGTGGATCAGGCGAAAGTGGATCAAGCGAAATCGAATCAAGTGAAAGCGGAACAAGCCAAATCGGAACAATTGAAAACTGATCAACTCAAAAGTAGGTCAACTCGCACTGCTCAAGTTTTAACAATTTTTATCTTATTGATTGCTAAAGTTTTGCGCCTGGACCCAACAGCCATCAAGGCCACCCCAGCCTCCGATCTCTCAAACGAGCCAAAAGCTTTGAGTCCTTTCCAGAGAATCTGGGCACACAACTCAGATTTACCAGGTAAATAATTTCATAAAAGATCTAGTACATTGGGAATGGCCTCTATGAAAATTTCTTGACTGATTGTATGCGTTTTGTAATCATCTCAATCAGCACGGTATCAATCTGGCGTGATAACCGAAAGAAAACCAAATGAGTTGGGCGGTGGCGAAGTTGCCGCATCATAAATAAACTTTTACCAACAACAACAAAAACTCCCTCCGAATAATTCATGATATTATTATGCAATTTGTTTTTCTCTCTTTTATATTTTTTTTTTTTTTTAAATCCAGCTGTAACTGTGTGGTCTCTTGAAAAAAGACTTCTAGCATCAGCGTTTATGACCTGGAAACAATCAGGTTGGATTTTTTCTGTATTTATGTAGCTACTAAACTCTTGCACACACACGTCGTTTTATTCCTGAATTTCTTTAATTCCATTCTCACTCATTTTGAAGCTGCATTGCATGATGGAAATATGTCTTGAGGATTTTAATCTTGTTCTACTTTGACAGTCATCCAAACTGGGTGGCCTTTTTCTAGGTGGTATGGTATGTTACCCCTTTGGGTAATTCTATGAATAAGGAGAGAGGAGGAATGGCTGAGCTAGAATTGTTGAAACAAGCGTACAATTCCGAGTGAGCTCATTATGAAGCCTCTCCCGGGGAGAGTCCTTCGGAAGCGGGATTCGGGCTCCCGGAGCTCGGGTATAAGGGGGCATGCGGCTGGAAGAGAACAGCAGAGACGAACACCTCTTCCTCAAGATCTCTCCCGCAAACCGCTATGCCCATGGAACCATCACAAGAATACAAAGGCACGCATTCCGACGTCAAGGATGACTCCGAAGAAACTCGTATCGTGGATCTGCGCTCGCGCTTCAAAAAGATGCACCCCGCAGACTTTAGAAGTGACCAATCTTTCGCACTATTCCTCGAGGAAGCTAAGGGTACGCCAACCCAGTCAACCCATGGTGTATGTCTATTCACGTTGACTGGCCGATATTTCCTTGCAATTCCAACGGATTGAAAGAGAACCTAGTCTGCGAGTATCTCGACGTTCTCGAAGAGTTCCTCTTAACTTTGCCAGAAGACGTCACTCCCACTCGCGATAATTTCTGGCAGTGCTTTATCGACAATGGGATGTCCATTTCAAAATTAACCGCAAAACTCTCGCTTACAACCGACGATATGAAGAACACCGCCATCAAACTTGCTTTCTTGCGGAACTACCCCCGGCTTTACGCCCAAACCAATACCAATACGTCCACAATGCTCAAGGTTCTTGAAGCCGAATCAGAGGAAGATATCCGGGCAATCCTAGAAGTTGGCAAAAGACCAGTCTATAACTCACGAGTCTCTGGTGGTGTCATCAAGAAAGGTTACCAGTCACCTTTTCTGAAATCCAAGAAGCTGGTTGATCCAATCTTGAATACCCTCGATGAATATGCCCGAGATTGGAAAAAGACCATCTATCTGGGGCCGTATGCTGCACTGATTGGCCCTTCAACGTCTGGAAAAAGCCGATTAATCATGGAAATGTCGAAGCACATCTGTGTGATTTACATCTGCCTTCGCCCAAAGGACTCCACAGGCTACCCACCCAGATCCGCACTTGCTGACCATATGATTCGACCGGCTTCCAACGATGGAACCACCTATTATACCTCTCTTCTTGCCGGTATCTTTCAAGTCGTCGCCAATTTTTTCAGCAGTCAAAATCCCGCTCAACATATGCAAGACAGGTTAAAGGAGTGGAATGATTACACTGAGGTGGCAAGCTTGGGCACACTCGATATGGGAGAAAGAACTCAGCAAAAATTCACCGCTGATGTTCTCAAACAAATGCGAAAATTTGCCATCTGCAAAGATGCCACTCTTCAAAAAACGGTGACGGCCATGAGGGACTCTACAAAGTTCATAAATACCCGCTCTTCCATGAGGGTACTACTCGCGCTCGATGAAGCAAGCGCGCTCCTCGAAATCCCCAACTCCGACAGTGCCACAGCATACTTTTGCACCCTTCGTCGTACGATCCGCAACATACCTCCAAGAATGGGGGTCTTCATAATCTTGGTAGACACCACTTCTCACATAGCCAATTTCAGTCTTGAATCAAAATTCGACTCCAGCGCACGACACAATTTTAAGGGTCAAAATCGGCTCTATCAACCAATATTCGAAATTTCTTCGTTTGACGCAATGGTCTCATCCGACCCACCCCGATCTTGGGGAGAATTAGTGTCTCCAGAGCGACTCTTCAAGTATGGAAGTCCAATCTTTGGTGCCTACTTTCGCGATGCCATAGCCAAACAGCAACAGCCCCAGGCGATCTATGATGCCATTTTGGAATTGGCTTTTTATAAACTGCACGGGCCAATCAAAACAACCCAATCCGCTCGGCCGGAAATCACCAGAGCTCAAGCCTTTGCGTTCCTTGGTCCCACCATCCAGCCACCGATCAATAACGTTTTTGCCCTCGGTATGGAGCTGATTGCATCACATGCTGCTCACTGTGATTACATCAGCCCGGGATGTGAACTGGTCTTCAGCAACTATCCGTCACAATTCACGCTTGCAGCAGCTGCTGTGGATCATCTACAGGACGACATCACGTTGATTCAATGCATCAAAGCTCTGACTACAAATGTGCTTCATGGACTTGATGCCGCCGGAGGCGCAGGTGACCTTGCTAGCCGAATCATTCTGTTGCGTGCAATCCAAACCGCTATGGCAACTTCATGCGAAGGAGGTCTAATCACTGGACGTCCGGTTAGTTTGGTGAATTTCTTGGAAGCCTTAACTGGCAAAAAAGAAAACGAGCTGGATCTTGGCTCGATAGGCCCCGAAGAAAAAAAGGATCTCTTAACAAACGGAATGATCTTTTGGAACCATTTCTCCTGCATCAAGTCTTCCCCAACTCCCAACAAACTGTTGCGAATGATGTACCGAGGTATGGCTGCGCAGTGCCATCCAAACCAGCCAGCCATCAACCAAATATTTACAATATATCTCAAACGTGAATCAGACAGTCTGGATGAAAAGAACGTTTCGTTTTGTGGAATTCAAGTCAAAAATCGCAAAAAGGACCTCAAAGTAGAAGACAAGTTGACCGATACTTATGCACAAGTTCACCTTTTGCAGAATAACCCTTACCTGATCCTCTACATGAACCTAAACAGTCAACAAGACAGCATGTTGCCTCTACCTGATCTTATAACTCCTCCAAACACTTGTAGTCAAAAAGATGTCACCTGGACGCAAGGTATGCGGCAAGCATCTCTCTCCTTCAATGGTTTGAATCAGTTTGGATGTCTTAGCCAAGGGGTCAAACAAGCCTTGGAAGAGTTGATAAATGCTGAGCCGGATTTTGCAGCAATTCAACGCAATCAAGAGTCAAAGGACTATAGCCATTTAATCAATCCAGAATTTGACTGATGAGATTGTATGATACGGAGTCTCACAAAACCCATCATGTTCTTCCTCTTCATTCTTCACTCATTCTGGACACATTCAAAGCCCTTCATTTGTTAGTTTCCTCTTGTCTCCTTTGGTCCAATCTTGCAAAACATTGTCATGACGTAGTTGAAGTCATGTAAATATTGTGTTTCCAAGAAAGCTTGGATCGGTTCGCTTTTTGAATTTTTTTCAACTGCTTTTTTTCTTGCAATTTATGGATTTAACTTTTCTGATTTATTAATTTGAAATATGTTTCCGCCTCAGGTGTCCCAGGGCTTTCAACTTTCTCCTCAGCTCATGTGACGGTCCAGTGCTTGGTCGGCACCACCGATGGGGCAGAAGGGAGTGACCGGCGGCCCCATCAAGCGGCTTGTTGGACCTACAAACTGCTCCGGTTCCGAACATGAACCCCGTTTTTTGTTAATTCTCCTCCAAGAGCATCTACTGGAGCAACATGGCTCCGGAGGTGGTTTTATCCCCAGGTGTTATCTGACATCTGTCAAGATAAAACCCGACTGAGAAACTGAAAATATGGGATTTGTCAAATCAAATTCAAAGTATTGCAAAAAATTCAAAAAGCAAACCAATCCAAGCTTTCTTGGAAACACAATATGTAGTTGATAATTTTCCTTTTGGTATTTCAAAGTCTAAAATCTAATAACAAGTCTTTATAAGTGAAAGATCATATTTTACATGTGTCTTTCACCACAAATGAAACAGATGTGATCTAGACTCTGTAAACCTCAGAGATAAAAATCATATTGTGTTTTCATGAATGGTTGGAGCCTCTGATCTTTTCAAAATTCTTTTGCTCCTTCAAATATCAATTTAGATGTGATAAACTTTACATATTTGTTTATGGATTTCCCAGTTTTTGACAACTAACCTCAAAAATCTTGATCATCTGCTTGTTCAGGCTCAAGATCAAGTTATTTGGATGACCTCATCTTGAAATAATTCACTAGAATTCACTGCAAATTCCAGGAAAGATCATCAACATTTATAACATTGGCTAATTTTTTGGTCTGTAACATGTGGCAAATCCAATCTTGACCATGAAGATTGCATCAACTTTGGGGCTTGACTGCGGGTCACATGTAGGTCAGATGTGGTCTGATTCCTTTTTGGCCAGCCCCAATTCATAGTGTATATGCAGTGAAGTGCATAATTGTTGGATAAACATCAAAGACACAAAGGTTGGAGGCTCCAACCATTCATGAAAACACAATATGTTAAAATCTCTATACGGAGTGCATGCTTCTAGCAAAACCACACTTTGTATTTGGTTTTAGCCTGTGCTGATCCAGCTCACTCTACTTACTCATTCAATACTATACTTCATTTTGGCTCCAGTCCTTGTCACAAGACTCAATGTCTGTGACTTCTATTTCTCAGCCTGGTCCACCTCAACACCTGATCCAAAAGGTCTCAAAACTTGTTGTAACAAATAATGAATCAAAATGTAAATAAAACTAAGAGGATTATCAAAATTGAGTAAAATGAATAAAGAATAACTTAAGAACAAATCACTGGTGAAGGAGAGATTTAACTGATTATTACATGAGCCAAATGAATGCAAGATGAGAGAGAAAAATGTATAAAAAAATTCAGGATAATATGAAGTAAGTTTGAATAAAATCCTCTGCCACTGATTTACACCCCAACCAAAAAAAGAAATCAAGATAAAAAGAGCAAAAAATGAAACACTTCAGTACCAATCTCCACCTTCCCCCCCCCCCCAGACTTAAAAAGAACCAGAACCCCAGAAAGCAATTCAAAACTTGATTGACTTTGAAATACTGCAGATACCTTACTGCCAACAGTGGCGGGCTTGACTAACACTTTGGTTACATTAGTATACTGTTATCTTTTTGGATACACTAAGCACAAGAAATATGGTCTGTGTTCCTTTTTATGAACTAGCAATCCATTTTCAGCATTCATTTTCCTCAACTGTTAATGTTTCTGATATTGTCCTGATAACACTCACAGAATTTGTGGCTATGAAGTGGTTGTTCTTATTATTTCTAAGGGAGTAAACAATAAAATGTTATTGTCTCAGTGATATCATTGAAAGCACCAGGGATAGCACTAATTTATCAGCAGTTATTGAAGGAGTAGGAATAATTCCCTCTCTGCATTGCCTTTGCCAATTCAATTTTTTTTTCAAAAGAAAAGAAAGATCAATTCTTTTTGAAAAAAAAAACTGTTTGGATTTTTGCCACCTTCTGTTTGGGTCCATCCAGTCTTAGGTTTTATTGAGCTTTAATTCCATGTTAGAAACACTGAAACCACTCCAATCCGATACGGTATTGGCTGATTTATTGGATCAGATTGATCTTTTGATACCAGGTATCAAAACATAGGGGATTGGATCACCCTAGTGATCCGATCCCGGGGTATTGTATAAAAACAGTGGTTATTGGACAGGTCAGGATTGAGATAGCATTGTGAGCCCAATCCGATACCAATCCGGTATCTTTGGGATAAATCCCACAGACAATTTTTTTGGCCAAAAAAAGTCCCATAGTTTTTTTTGTTCTTCTGTACTATTATATAAAAATGAGAACTATACAACTGAATTTTCATTCATTTTTACTCTGAGTCACAATTTATATAGTGGATGGGGTGGCTGGGGGCAGTGTGTTGGGCTGGGACCTGGGATCAGGGGTGGGGGAGGGGGCCATGTGACAATCAATCAGATGTTTCTCAATGAAGAAGAGCATGGACGCCTGTTCAATGTGGTGTTTCCTTGTTAGAGTTATTGATTCTAGTATTTCATGCTAAGATCAAGAGGCAAGGACAAAAAAACTGGTCAGTTGTGCCAAGAATGATGTGAAACATGAGTGGAACAAGGGAAATCTCACCAGAAAAGGGTTAAAAAGAAAGCATCCAATGATTAAACAAAAATGACATTGAATGATTCAAAAAAACATGTCAGTTGTATTTGAGATGGATGATGTGAGGAGAAGAAGTGAAATCTCCCCAGAATTTAGAAAGAAGAGGCCAAAAATTGAAAAAAAAGTATAATTGAAACATCAAAACAATTTACTGGTTGGGTGTGATGAATGAGCAGAAAAAGAAAACGGGGATCAACAAACTGCTCATCATCCAACCAATCCAATATGATATGTGATAATGTATTGTATTGGCTACATAATGTGAGGGAGGAAAGAGAGGCAACACAAGCTCTTGACAGATCTGATGGACTTGTCCAGGTGAGTGGTGACCAAGTCCACATGATTTACTGAGCGCCAGGAGTGCAGTCCAGAATCCAGATCCTTTGTCCAGAAGCGTCAGACAATGGT